TATCGTCCATCACACGCTCACTTCAAACTGATTCACATGGATTCTCATTCTTTTCAGACGTGTTCTATTCACTCTCATAGCTATTTCATGTGAATACCGTTCTCTTCATGAGTTTTTCTCATTCATTTCGTCTCATTTCACTTCACAGTTCGAATCAATTTCTCATTCTGTAGCATATACAGTTTACTGAATACGTTGACGAGTGTTGACAGCCGAAACCAGCAATACAGCAATTGAATATTATTGCTCAACAATGTTCGACAGTTGATGAACAATTACAGAGTGTATTCCATAGAATGAGAATTTGACTTTAATTGTTGTGTCAAATGAATGAGAAATTAGTAGAAGAGAACATTTTTGGTGATAAAAGCTATGAGAGCGATTATAACAGCAAGAAAACGAATGAAAACCCTGTTAAAACAAGCAAAAAGCCTGTTAGACCGGGACAAGCTAATGATATTCATAGGAGAACGAAGAGTGTTGCCATCAACTAACCGCATTTAAATATCCAAGTTAAAAAACACCATCACAATGGCGTTCTATCATAAAATAACAACTGCACTCAATCTTAATTCCCCCACCCCGTCCATCACCCCTTCACACCTCCAAATTACCCAAAATAGGTAACTTCACCCTCTACGGGAACCACTGCAGTAGACAAACAAAGTCTCCTTTTCGGTTCCCTTCAAAAGAATATCAAAGCAACATTCAGCAGCAGGGTCTGAGACATATATGAGAGTTCTTCGTCACAGACATGGAAATGAAGTTGGATTTTGAGAACTGCGAAGCCGAAACTTAGTCAGTTTTTCTTTTTTGAATTCAAGTATCACTGCTTATAAGATGTGAACAGCTCCGGAGCTTTGCTGGAGTGGTGACTAATTTTGACACATACATATGTATGAAAATTCCACGAATTCTTAAACATAAAGAATTCATTATTCATAATCAACCATGTAACTGATGATATTCGTTGTCAGTAATGACTTCGAGATCATTTCTATATTTTTAAGAAGAACGCATTGGTCGCCTCAACACGAATTCTTCACTCGTTTCCAAACAACAATGCATCCATGGATTTGTGATTTGTTATTCGTTGATACGCTCGCTATTTTCAGTTCAGTGAGTTCACTGTACTATGAAAGTTGATCGTAGTGGAAATCCAAACATTTGGATATATTCTATCTCGGAAACCGAATAATTCAGTTCAGAAAAAAGTGATTGAATGTGTNTATGACTCGAAAAAAGTATTGAATAATGATTATAATTTGAAGAGTGAATGGAAATCTAGGTGATTGTATCAACGTCGCTGTTATCATCGTGTTTATGCAAGAGACAAGGATACGTTCTCGTCAAGGATGCCAATATTGAACCAGTACAGGATTTACCGCAAAAGTACTCCATATTTAGCCGTGTTCATCGACTCTCATTTCCATAAGTTATATCCTGATACCTAAGCGTGCTTTGACGATACCAAAAATGACAACAAATCAGTTCACTGATGACAGTTGATCAGACTGTTGCAAACCTTTCTCAAATGATTTCTTTTTTTTCTCAGTTTTCATAGTGAACGTTCAATTCCTTTCTTCGCCAGTTGGGAAATTATCATTCAATCGATGTGAGACAAAGCTGGAGAGGACTACTTAAAATGAACGTTTTCAGGTCAACACCAAAGCCACCGGAAGGATGGGGTGACAGGAATGACGATACACTAAAGAATGTAAAAACGTTAACACGCTCCGAGAGTACAACTCCACGGTTACAACGGAATTCAAGTGGCAATCCAGCAGAGCATAACGATGCTCAGAAGTCTGCATCTGGAAAGAAATCGAATGAGAATGAATCAAAAAATAACTCGAATGATAAGAAAGATGAAGTGAAAAATTGAATTAAGTCGTGTAATTCATAACGAATTATCATTAAATTATATTTCCCTCTAATAGTTAAAGAGTGTTTTTATGTATTCACTAATCGTAAGTGATTCCTTATTGTCACGTCTACTTCACAGGAATAAATTCAACTAAACCTTATTCATCGAAGCCTGATAATAAACATCCTAGAACTGATATGATTTTACTCAGGTTAAATAAAGAGAATGCATATTAAATTCAACTTCTAACAGATTCCAAAAGACATGCCACAGTGTGTGCAAGTGATGATGGATAAACTTGCAATATGATCACCAATCCCTCACACAATCTCAAACGAGCACAACGATTTATTCTACTCTTATCTAACTCACATATACGTAAAAGTTTTATGCAGTGATGGGCACACTACCGAAAAAACAGCTCCGCTGATTGCTAATTCCCTCAAAAATATTTTTGTTCCGCTAAAAATGATCCACTATTAGCATCGCTGAAAAAAATTAACGAAGACGTTACGCTCAAAGTGTCGCTACACGAGAAAAATTAACATCTGATTCACAAAAATTTGGTCATCGCACAAGGGTTGAACTGCTGAATACGAATATTTACATTCATTATCACATATTACAAGCAATTGGTTATCAGTTTGATGATATTTGTTGAAAGCAATTCATTTCGTAAGTCTGTTGTGCAATTGAGTGGTCGTTTCTTCAACATCAAAAACACGGCGGAAGTTGAACGAACCGATTTTACATTGATACCAAATCTGAACGCACAGGATTATGTATCAACTGCCATATCAATGCTCATCTACACTAGCATATATCATAGGTTATTTTCATAGAGTTCATTCACTCAGAAACGAGTATGGCATTTTGTCTATAACGCATTTCCGATAGCGTTGCGAATGAACGTTTGAATAATGGAAGATTACGGTATTATGAAGCGATAGCCAATGGTTGGGAAGCTAAGAGTAGGCCTGCATTCGAAGTCATGCACATACCAAGTGATATTTCATTATTTGGGTTTTGAACAATCATCAACATATTGAAAGAATTTGTCGACCGCTCCAATGAACATATTGAATCATTCAGGTTTATTAGGATGGATTCTGTCAAGTGCAGTGTTCGGCATGCAATGTTTTCAATTCAAGAAACTAAACTCAAATTCAGTCGAAAAGCGAGTTCTAGTGGACTCAGCAGAATCTGGCCAAGTAGCTCCTAATACTCCAATAACAGCAACCGATAACGTAGCAAATAAAACTGATAAAAACGAACAAGCAGTTGGAAACGATAAAAATAAGCCATCAAGTAATGAGATGCAATCTGTAAGTCAAACGCATTTCCGTTCTTGCTTGAGAAAACTTACGTGAAAGTGTGGCTAAAATAAGTGGCAACTTCACAATTGTTACATCAATCACAATCTCTTCGTTGTTACCGATCATACTGATAGAATACCGCAGATACTCACTTCATAGAGAGCACTTCTATCAATCATCCCCTATCGTTTTGATGAGAATGGCAAATGAGCGACACAACCTCATTCGCGGTTAATCTTAAGAAAGAATTGATCTTAAAGAACCTATTTATATGCCGTGACAGTTCTCACTGAACGTCACATACTTGATTGAGAGTGAGAATAAAGTTTATTTCTAATATTGTATGAAACTGCGTAATTTTGGGGCGGATTGAAAGAGAACGTGAAATCGGGTGATGTGAAGAAGAACGAACAATCTGCTGAAGATAAGAAAATAGATGCGAAGAATTGCCCAAAAGTCAGCAACAAGCAATCTGTGAAAGTAAGTTTGTTTGCTATAACAAGATAAATGTCTCGGATCCTCATCTTATGCCTCTTCCACAATGTAACGAGGAAAATATCAACATTCCAACAGCACATTCTTGTGAAACCTATGTAAGGTTTCGTGAACTTATTCAAAAAACTTTGTACCATTTCATTTTTCATCTCAATTGTGTGCTCTTTCATACAAATTTTGTGAACATTCTACTGTCATGATCTGTCAGAAATGATCATTCAGCACTGATATAAAAGATGTATGCTTATAAGAGCATCTTCCACAGACTTATTCAGAAAACACATACTATTAGATATGAAGGATGTATTGAAAACAATGTCCATTGCGTTGACTGCATAACGTGAAATGACTACGACGGCACATCAGTGTATTATCAAACCAACTTCAATTGCTTGCCTAATCATTTTGTGGTTATTGCAGAAACACGAGGATGCAACGCGAAAAAAGCCAGAGCAGGATCACAAAGCACAAACTAGTGACGAAAAGTGAATTAGTCTGCTGGATTTTACTCACTTCGTTGATGAGATATAACAAAATCATTCTTATTGTTAGATATCTTATTCTCTTTGACAGTTGTGAATTGCTAGCAAAAACGAAATGCCTTTGCTGATCTTTTGAAGAGATTGCATGGAATAGGTAGATCTAAATGGAAATGCTTTACTAGCCCAGCAGATTTCACTTTCCAACTCATCCCTTACATGTGCTATTTAGCCTGAGTTATCCGTCTTTCCTACTCCAGTCAATATGCAGAATGTATGATAAGTACATTTCAGAGGTTATATAATTGCACTTGGTCGAGTGAAACAAATGGGCAATCTCGACCAAATGATCAACGTTAGTTGATAATACCTGCATTATTTACTATCTTATTTATCAATCATAACTAGGCAAAATGAACTACCGCCTTTGCATAAAATTCTACTCACACCTAATCAATAGAAATAATTGAAATAAGATGATAGTAAAAATACAGTAAAATGTTCGAAAGCAAAACAATTCTAGTTTCATAATAGTAGGAGTGGAACTAAACTATTAGCATTTAAAGGCCCATAAAGCCACGACGGCCAAGGAAATAGAAGGAATGGGCTCGAAACACGAGATGGAATTGAATTCAACACCTCCAAATAAATCGACATCACAGAAACACGCCCGAAGTAAGCACGTGCAAATAATCGAAAATAGATGCCAACTATTCGAAACGAATAACGAAGGAACCTTAGACGAAGAAGCTGATGATGCAATTGCTGCTGGTGGACATTAAATGAAGAAATTATAACTAAATCATACTCCAAATTACCATTCGTCCGCACGTTATTCAACACATAATAATTATCTTGTATTCATGATCCATGTACATATTGCGTGATTACACATTCTTGTTTGGTGATTACACTCTTTGAATATACGTCAATTGCGTCGTATCGAAATGTCACGATCCCTATTGCTGTCAAGTGATCAATGCACATCAACTTGATTCATTCATCTTCAGTAATGTTTACATTTACTTGAATAAATGTTATGGATACCAGTCTTGATGACACCAGCAATCATGAAAGTGATAAAAAGGTTTCAGCACGATATGGATGAGTGATAATCTTGGAAACGGCGTGATATGATTTCCCAGTGTTATTTGCGCATCATTTTTAAAGCGTGAGCATAATAACGTACGGACCTGAGCTAAGCAGCTCAAATCAAACAGTATCACATGGCAATCGTGTCGCCATCCATAGTTGCAGAGAGCTGCTTACATTTCTGAAAGTATATCAAATGGATGTAAATTAAATAGCGACTGCATTTTCGATCAATTCAATACATTGTATCTTGTTGATCAATCTGCGAATTACATACGATCCAGCTGGATCTCCTCATTCAGAAAAAACATGTATTTTGTCGCGCGATTTTGCTTTACTGAGGAGATATAGCCTTTTTCTGCAGATCTATTTCAACTAGATAGCGCAGTCGCGCTCATTCATACAAACTGATCACCATACACCAATCAACACGTTCACAATAGCAATATGCGGATTCCGATCTTCGAGCTAACAGACTTCTCAGGTTTGCCCGGAAACATGTGAGTTTCTTTTCACTATTCGATCCAGCAGAACCCCTAAATTAGAATATTATAGATTTTACTGAGCAATTTTGCTTAGTTGAGGAGATATAGGCATTTTATT